CTAATTATTAATAGACATCCAAATTCACCTTCAAGGATAATTTCAGATAATTATATATCCAGGAAGTCTGGACCAGATCATTTGTTTTTGTTTACCTTCCAATCAAATCCGCTGTGCAACTTTTCCCTCCTCCAACCACGAAGCCCCTGGTCTGGTGTGGTGGGCACCAGGACGCAGCCACAGCTCCCATGAGGATCCATCTCTGCCTCTGCTCTTCAGCTTGTCTCTGAGTCTGTGGTGAGAGAAGAAGAGATGTGAGAAAAAAAGAAAAAAAAAGTTTCTGTTATCGGCTGAAGTCCTTCATTTCTGAGTGAGCAGAACATGGAGACTGTCAGAGGGATAACGGGAAAACTGTCTCCTCTCACTGGCTTTGGTTGAAAAGTGAATTTTTCCAGCAGTGTCACGTGTGACGGCCATGTTTCTCTGTTAGTGTCTCAGAAACACACGTGTGTGTAATTTAACAATGAAAATATATTGTGTGTAACTACCACTGTGGACATACTCATTAGAATAACATTACACATCACAGATTATCTGAGATTTTTTGAGACGTTAAGGGCCGTGTTTATTCAGTTAGAATTCATTCTCACTCCAGGCTGAATGTGTCTAGTTCAAATGTGGGGGGGAGAGACAGAGAGAGCAAGAGAGAGAGAGAGAGGGAGTTTTGTGCATGTGTTTTTCAGTGGCCAGCAAAGCCTTCTTTCCTTAATACCATCAGAATCAATGACATATTTTATCATGAATATTTATAAAATAATCATATAAATAATATTTATAATAATATTTATAATAATAATACCTTCTCCTTATCGCCTATTTTCTGGTGAAACTCGCGTATTCTCGAGTTTTTTTTTTTTTTAGCCAATTATATTGCGGCCTCAAGTGTTGCCAGGTTGAAATAAATCTGCCCTAAGGCCTTCAGAATCAGTGGCGAGAGCAGTAGGCGCTTAGAATGACTGGCGATGACGTTTCTTTAACCAATCAGATTTTTGGGTTGGCGTCGAACTTCCGGTTGGCCGGTTGTTACGTTGGCGATTTGAGTGATTTGATTGGATGTTGAAAAAAACGCGCAGTCTTGAATCTAGTAAACAACATATAGCGACTCGAAAATTAAGTTTTCTCGGCGTCCAGTGCTTCTGTCGAGTGGACATTAAAACTACATAAATACGACACAACAGACTGGACTTTCAGCTTTAGCGTGGATGACGATAGAAACACTGTTGTTGTTAGAATTGAAGCTCACGGATAAACATGGAATTATGAGTATAAATAATCAGACGTTTTGGTGAGTAAAGTACTTGTCTTTTTAAGAATATTTGAACTGTAATATGTTGTTATTATTGTCAGTTAGCTACTTAGCTAGGCTGTAACGGCTCTTTATGCTACATTTCTGCGTAATATTGATGGTTTCTATGGTCATAATGAAGTTATTAGGATGTGGTTTGGTTCAGGCAGGCCGAATGAATGTCTATGAATGTGTTATTATTGTTCCAGGATCGTTCCAATGTTCTGTTTTGATGGTGGCTTTCGTCATTTTTTTAAAATATTTTCTTCTTTTCAAGTTGCATTACTGTAGTGAAAGTCTCAACAGCGCAGGGTGATTTGTTATTGCAAAGACCATGGGCACCCTCTAGTGGTGAGAGATCAAAACTAAATCAAGTGAGTCTTTAAAAAAAAGCATTTAGTGCTGAGTTGTGTTTACAGCACCTTCTGGTGGAGCAAAGAGGTAACTACTGAACTATAGTTTTTTGAGGATTTTGAGTGATTTACGTTGGTATAATAATAATAATAATAATAATAGCTAATTATTCTTTCATTATTGTGGTGTTTTTAATTAATTAACTTGTTGTCGAAGCTTAGAGGAGACGTGAGACTAGTAGTTGATACAATTATTGGATGGGTGGATGAATGGATTAAGGAACATGTTTCTTTAATACAGTAAAAAATAGTACGTAAATAGTAAGAAATAAAGTAAAATGAAGAAAAAAACATTTAAAATGACTTTAATACAGTAAAAAATAGTACGTAAATTGTAAGAAATAAAGTAAAATGAATAAAAAAACATTTACACAGTGAGCACACAGTGGTGAATGCAATATATTTGAATATGTTGAATTACACTCACTGACATTTGTTCTGAAAGGGAATCAGCTTCTAATCATGACAGTCCAGGTCAAACTAATGTCTTACAAAACAACCCAGACCGACCCTGGTCTGAGATGGGTCTCCACGGACTCTGGCAGTCCGAATGGTTTTCCATCAAATTGATGTGGATTTAGGATTAATCTTAGAAGCTAAAAAAGTTTTGTATTTTCATATAGCGATCGTAACTCTGTGATTGACGGGGGTGATTTGTGAGACATTACCCTTTGTTTTTTAGCTGCTAATGATCTGAAACTGCTGTGTTTTGTCTGTTAGTCAAGAAAGGGTTCCTGTTAGATTCACCTGGCTAAACATCGTACAGGCTGCACATTGCAACAAAAAAAGTGCTTTCATCAATTCCTGCCTGTGTTTCTGCAGCAGCTGCTTTATTCTGCACCCTTAAATCTCTCCTTTGTGATCAGTGTGTGCCGATTACTCAAAGCGATAAAGCTGGGGTCTGGCGTCTTAGGCTGAGCCATGGATTATGAAAGGTCACATATATATATATTTATATATATTTATATATTTCTATAGTCACTGTAGAACTGTTTGCTGTCTGTAATGTGTTGGCCAGGACCCTACTCTATCGCTTTGCAAAGTGTAAAGTAGATATAAAAAAAAAGTTGAATAACATAAAATAACATAATAAAATGTTATTTATGTTATTTCCCACGTGAAGAACTCCTGTAAACCTTGCAGTATTGAAACTCAGTGAACAAGGCATCTTAGACAAGCTGAAAAACAAATGGTGGTACGATAAGGGTGAATGTGGAACCAAGGACTCTGGAAGTAAGGTCAGTCGCTGCAGGTCTTTTTACACTGATTGCATCAAAAGCATTGTGACCCAGTTGTTCATACACAGACATCGACAGCACCACACTCAGACAGACAGGCCGATTACGACACGACACACACCGTCCTGACAAAACTGAGAAATCAAATAAATGTACAAAATTTAAAAAAAAAATTAAATCTTTAAGGATACTTTAAGGATTAATGTCTAGTGATGTCACCTCCAGCCCCAGGCTGTGGGAAGTGAAGCTCTGTTTAAATATTCAAATAATACATAGGTTCACGTATTTGTTGTTTTTTTTTAATTGTCAAAAAGTTTCATTTGAAACAACAATCCCAGGTTGATTTAATTCATGAAAGCCACATTTACAAACTCACAGTTTTGACATGAAATACACATATTAAATTAGTACTAAATTTACTACTACTATTGTAAAGTACTAGGTAAAACTAAATTTTATTTTATTTTTTTAAATGTATCTATTTAATTATGATTAATCACAATTATTTCCACAAAACTTTAAAAACATCACAGTTGAAGTCGACAGTGTTGACCAGTGATGGTCTTTGGGCTCCCTCTTGTGGTAAATCGGGGTAGTCCATTCTAAATCCTGTCTGACGTTGTTTTGTCAGGACGGCGTGTGTTTGTGTGAATATTTTCTAATCGTTTGTTCTGCCTTTAAAAGAAAAACACATGACCTGTCACGTGTGTTTGCATTTAATTGAACTGATCAACACACCAATCTGTCACGATTCATTCATTTCTCAAAAGCTAAAAGATTGAAGATTTGTTAAAATTCCCAGCATGATGACACATCATTTTATTCATTCCATAAAAATATGAATAATTAAAAAAAAAAATCATAGAATTGAAACCATTATCCTGCTGTTTCGTCGCCCAAACCTCTATTGAAATTTAGTTTATTGGTTCTTGATCATTTGTATGCACACTGCGTACATCAACCCAGAACACGCCGGACCGCCGTCTCACTGCAGCGTCTTCATCCTGACCAAACCCAAAGTGACCTTTAAATATCACCCGAGCACCAAGTGGTCGGCGGGCATTTAACACGTCACGTCTGACGCTCGGACCCCCAGAGACGGGGGAGGGGGGGGGGGATTCTCAACATCCTCAATCCATTTAAAAATGATAATGTTTACTTCACTTCAGGTCTGAAAAGTCCAAGAAAAAAAACAAAGTTTAGAATGCAAATGGTAAAAGTCACATAAATGAATTTCAATGATCTCTGGTTGGCTGTTGACGGCAGCACAATGGTTCAATTCCTCGTCCGCATCCTTCCACGTCTGACTGTTACCAATGCAGTTTAGTTGAAGTTTGACCAGATGTGACAGAGAACCGAGGCTGTAACCCCCGTAGACCTGTACGACCACGACCGCCTTCCGATATACAGGTGGTCTCGTAAAGAGACCACAGGGCAGACAGACCCCCAGACGCTGACTCTGTCTACATTCACCTTCTTATACTGTAGGACAGCAGGGTCTCCTCTCATCCATCACACCCTAGGTTGAGCCACCTCCTCAGTGTAGAGTCAGGCGTCATGTTACTGCTGCTGTCTGAGGTCTCTTCACATCAAACAGTGTTAACCTGGTTTCTACTGCCCCCCCCCACCCCCACCCCCCACCCCCCAGGACAAGACAAGTGCATTGAGCCTGAGCAACGTGGCAGGAGTCTTCTATATTCTGGTTGGAGGGCTGGGTCTGGCAATGACCGTGGCTCTGATTGAGTTTTGCTATAAGTCACGGCAAGAAACCAAGAGTCTGAAGTTGGCAAAGAACGTCCAGAACTTTAAGCCAGTCCCTCCTGCCAACAGCCAGAATTACGCCACGTACCGTGAAGGCTACAACGTGTACGGGACGGAGAGCGTGAAGATTTAGGGGGTGAGTCTTCGTCGTTCATTTGTTGTGGCACAGTTATAACAAAGTTGATATAAAGTATTAAAGTTTTTTTCGCAGGATATTAACCTCCACTCTCTCTTTTGTTCTTTTTGCCTCAGCAGAGGAAACCAAATATATATATATATAAATATATATATCGCCTCCTCCTGGTGCATCTGGACGGAAACAGCTCCTTTGTGTGACCTTTGAACCTGGTTGTTGTACTGACGTCGTGAACACAGCAGACGTTCCTTCTCATTGGCCTGTGACACAAACCTCCCGACTCGTCGAGCGCTCACCTGAGCATCGAGCGACCGGTCACAGGAACGGAAGGACGCGACACCACGGTCAGACTTTTGCTTCTGAGAGATTTGCCTCCTGTAGTGCCTTATGGAGCATTTTAGCGTCGTGGCAATGCAATTCATGTCTAATCCACTTGAAAATAATGAAGAAAAAAAAATACTTGTGTGGGAGACGTTTGCTTCAAACAGCAATTTGATGAACTGTTGCGATTTTTTTCTATTTGAGAAGAAACAAAAGACGAAGCCATGACTTTCAACGGACAAGTGGGGAAACCTCCGGATTCACTGGAGTTCTTTACAGACTTATTTTTGTGGTGAAATCCTGAGTTATATAAATATTATATTTAGTGAAGTAAAGTCATTCTATTGTTTTACTATAAGACTATTTTCAGTGTCGTAATATTAGGGACAGGCATCGGGAAGGTCTCGGAGCGACAACACGCCCCCCCCCTGTTTTAAACCCAAATAAGAACAAATGTGAAAAGTGAGCAACTGTTGTTAAAATGAGAAAAATGTACAGAGGCGTTTGTTTAGATGCTTGTTTCAACCGTAACTGCCACAACTTTGAAACCAGTCGACCGGCTTTTAGTTCATCTGTGCCATGTTTTAAAACTCTTGAGTAGAAACTTTGAGACCATTTTGTTGAAGTGCGCACACTTTCCTACTGATTTAACTGAGAGCTTATGACGTCTGTTTTTTGATCAGTGGTGATGAAAACCAACGCCTCTTTGGTCGTGACGTGCTTCCTGTGTTCATGCGTTGACAGAGGAGGAGCCAGTGGGGTTCGATCAAGAGACGAAAAGGTCCAAAAAAAACAACAACAAAAAAAACCTCCCACTCACTCAAACACTCCTCACCCCCCCCCCCCCCCCCCCACATACTCCCTCATTGAACCTGCATGTTGATTTATCTCCAACCTGATCCTGGTTTCTCGTCTGATAACAGATATGTTTTTTTTAGATTATTTTTTTCTTCTTGTTTATTTGTAACAGTACCTCAGTCAAGAGAGTTGCATGTGTGGACAAAATGAACCTCTGTACCGAGGTCGTGTACAAAGGACTTTATTACATTTCCTTAATAAAAGCAGGTTTATATTAAAGTCGTGTTTGACGTGTTTATTAAAACAAAGCATTTTATTAATCTTATAGATCTGAACTTTTTTATACATTTGATTTAACAGAGATGTAGAAAAATGTTTGTCAATTAAAATTAAAATCCAACACTGACTAATGAATGACATTTGTT